TGCCCCTGCATGTTAACCTACGTGTCCATTCATGTATAGGTGTTTAGAGGCAGAAAAAAACCCCCCAACAGTCAGTGCGTCCAGGAGCAGTGACATTTTTGCAGGAAAAAAAAAAACTCTTGACACGTGTAAAAGAATGCAAACATGTCTGAACATGTGTTAAAGCTAGGCACATTTAGCACTTGAGCTTTAATTCACTTTAATGGCCAGGAAAAAAATGATTATTCTGGCCAATGAACTTAGGTAATGCCCAAGGCTTACCACTTTTTCAAGCGTCAAATGCTGCTGCCAGGATAAAAGACAAATAAAAGAGATGGCAAAACCTCTATCGTGCATGAAACCTTATAGCACACACTATATATATATATATATATATATATATACACACACACACACACACACACATATACATATATATATATATATATATATATATATATATATACATACACACACACACATTGTCAGGAATGGACTCGCCAATGGTGGTGGTACTCACCTGCCTTGTGGGCTGCAGTACCAAGGCTGCCAGCGGGTGCTCTCAGCAGCCAGAATCTGACTCCTGCAATCAGGCCATCACCTGAGGCTGATTGCAGGAGGTGTATTTAAGCAGGACCAGGCCTGTGATCAGTGTCTTGGTGTATGTTTCCCATGAGCCCCTGTACCTGCATCCCATCTGCTTCCTGCCTGATCCCGATTCTGCTTTGATCCTGACTCTGAACGAACTCCGCCTGTCCTGACCTCGGCTATTCCTGACCACTCTTCCGCTCGCTCCTGGTTTGCCTGTTTGCTACTGACCCGGCCTGCCCGACTACGTTTGATTGTATATATGGTTATCTGTTGGAGGTTGGGTTGTTTACTCTGTGTTATGTTTACCTTGCACTGCGTTTTGTGTTGTTTAGTCTTTTAATAAATTGTCTTGTTTACTCTATACCTGAAGCCTGCGTTTCCCTGTGTCAGTCCACACACCTCTGGTCATACCTGGAGCCCTGACACACACACACACACACACACACACACACACACACACACACACACACATATATATACACACATATACATACATACATATACACACACACACACACACACACACATTATTGCCAAAAGTATTGGGACATCCCTCCAAATCATTGGATTCAGGTGTTCCAATCACCTCCATGGCCACAGATGCATAAAATCAAGCACCTAGGCATGCAGACTGCTTCTACAAACATTTGTGAGAGAATGGGTCGCTCTCAGGAGCTCAGTGACTTCAAGCGTGGTAACGTGATAGGTTGCCACCTGTGCAATAAGTCCATCTGTGAAACTTCCTCGCTACTATATATTCCACAGTCAGCTGTTAGTGGTATTATAACAAAGTGGAAGCAACTGGGAACAAGAGCAGCTCAGCCACAAAGTGTTAGGCCACGTAAAACGACAGAGTGGGGTCCGCACATGCTGAAGCGCACAGTGCGCAGAAGTCGCCAACTATCTGCAAAGTCAATAGTTAAAGACCTCCAAACTTCATGTGGTCTTCAGATTAGCACAACAACAGTGCGTAGAGAGCTCCATGGAATGGGTTTCCATGGCCGAGCAGCTGCATCCAAGCCTTACATCGCCAAGTGTAATGCAAAGCGTCAGATGCAGTGGTATAAATAACGCCACCACTGGACTCTAGAGCAATGGAGACGTGTTCTCTGGAGTGATAAATCATGCTTCTATGTCTGGCAATCCGATGGACGTGTCTAGGTTTGGTAGTTGCCAGGAGAACGGTACTTGCCTGTAAAGTTTGGTGGAGGGGGGATTATGGTGTGGGGTTGTTTTTCAGGGGTTGGGCTTGGCCCTTAATTCCAGTGAAGGGAACTCTTAAGGCATCAGCATACCAAGACATTTTGGACAATTTCATGCTCCAAGCTTTGTGGAAACAGTTTGGGGATGGCATCTTCCTGTTCCAACATGACTGCGCACCAGTGCACAAAGCAAGGTCCATAAAGACATGGATGAGCGAGTTTGGGGTGGAGGAACTAGACTGCCCTGTGCAGAATCCTAACCTCAACCCGATAGAATACCTTCGGGGTGAATTAAAGCAGAGATTGCAAGTTAGGCCTTCTCGTCTGACAGTGCCTGATCTCAGAAACGCGCTTCTAGAAGAATGGGCAAACATTCCCATAGACACATTCCTAAACCTTGTGGACAGCCTTCCCATAAGAGTTGAAGCAGTTATAGCTGCAAAGGGTAGGCCAACTCAATATTGAACCCTGCGGACTAAGACTCAAGTTCATGTGCATGTAAAGGCAATATAGGGTATATTATAAACATGCAAACAAACTTCTTTTATAGTATGCTATTAATAGACAATTGACATAAGCTTAACTCATCATGCACACTAGACATTTTCACAGCTGCTGTTTTTGGCTTTTGGCATTTTTTTCTACAGTCAGTAAACTCCCCAGCATGTAATTCTATGTGTCCATGCACACATAGGCTTTAAACAGCGTTTTTTGGCAGGAATGTTTTTTGGCTGGAAAAAAAAAACAGAACTAGTGGGTTTCTAGAGGAGTTTGTTAGCTGTAAAAATGCTCTAACACTGAAAAACACTGTAAAACACGGTAAAATGTGTCAAACCAGCGTTTTTGGGCATTTTTTTTTTAGCAACTTTTTTTGTGTAAAGAAACGCAAACGCGGAAAAATGCGGCTAAACGCTAATGCAGAAATGCTAAAAAACTTGCATTTTTAAAACGCCTAGTGTGCATGGAGCCTTAAAATAATCCTTTACTGACCTCTGTAGCTGCAGAACCACAAGAATTTGAATTAAATAGTAATTCTTTTACAATTTGTAATCGTTAGTCTTGAACATAATCAATATTAACCACTTGCCCTCCTGAGGATTTACCCCCTTCTTGACCCGGCCATTTTTTTTGTTACGGCACTGCATTAATTTAACTGACATGCAACGCTGCACCCAAATGAAATTTACGTTCTTTTTTTCCCACAAATAGAGCTCTCTTTCGGTGGTATTTTTATTTTTTGCAGTATGAAAAAAAAAAAGACAGACAATTTTGAATAAAAAAACAATATTTTTGACTTTTTGCTATTAAACATGTCCAGTAAAAAAATGTCAAAAATCTAATTTCATCATAAATATAGGCCAAAATGTATTCTGCTACATGTTTTTGCTAAAAAAAAAATCCCAATACGTGTAAATTAGTTATAGCATTTAAAAAATGGCTGTGTATGTATGTGTATATATATATAATATATATACAGTCATGGCCCGAAATTGTTGGCACCCTTGATATTTTTCCTGAAAATCAAGTATTTTCACACAAAAAAAAGGTATTGCAAACACATTTTTTGCTATACACATGTTTATTCCCTTTGTATGTATTGGAACAAATATAAAACAGAGGCAGAAAAGCAAATATGAACATAATGTCACACAAAACCCCAAAAATGGGCTGGACAAAAGTATTGGCACCCTTAACTTAATATTTGGTTGCACACCCTTTGGAAAACATAACTGAAATCATCGCTTCCTATAACCATCAATAAGCTTCTGACACCTCTCACCCGGAATTTTGGACGAGCACTCTTCCTTTGCAAACAGCTCCAGGTCTCTCTTATTGGAAGGACACCTTTTCCCAACAGCAATTTTAAGATCTCTCCACAGGTGTTCAATGGGATTTAGATCTGGGCTGCGTGGCCATTTAATGCTGGCCTCAGAACTCTCCAGCGCTTCTTGCCATCCATTTCTGAGTGCTTTTTGACGTATGTTTGGGGTCATTGTCCTGCTGGAAGACCCAGGGATCTTGGACGCAAACCCAGCTTTCTGACACTTTCGGGGCCCTACAGTGCGACCCAAAATCCTTTGGTAATCCTCAGATTTCAACATGATGCCCCCAGTGCACACAGTCAAGGCACCCAGTGCCAGAGGCAGCAAAACAACCCCAAAACATCATTGAACCTCCACCATATTTTACCGTAGGTACTGTGTTTTGTTCTTTGTAGGCCTCATTCCGTTTTCGGTAAACAGTAGAAGATGTGCTTTACCGAAAAGCTCTAAACTTGGTCTCATCTGTCCACAGAGTTTGACGTTTTCCCAGAAGGCTTTTGGCCAACTCAAGTACATTTTGGCAACCTGTAGTCTTGACTTTTTTATGTCTCTGTGTCAAGCAGTGGGGTCCTCTGGGTCTCCATGCCATAGCGTTTCATTTCATTTAAATGTCGACGGATATTCGCGCTGACACTGATGCTCCCTGAGCCTGCAGGACAGCTTGAATGTCTTTGGAACATGTTTGGGGCTGCTTATCCACCATCCGGACTATTCTGCAGTTGCAATCTTTCCATCAATTTTCCTCATCCGTCCACACCAGGGAGATTTAGCTACAGTGCCATGGGTTGCAAACTTCTTGATAATGTTGCGCACTGTGACAAAGGCAAATCTAGTTCTCTGGAGATGGACTTGTTACCTTGAGATTGTTGATATTTTGCCACAATTTTGGTTCTCAGGTAAAATCAGACCAGCGTTCTCGTCATTCTTTCTTTTGCCATGCTTTTTTTGTGGCACAGACAAACACACAAATGCAAAGGTTAAATGTGAAATGTCTCTCCATTTTTAATCTGCTTTCAGGTGTGATTTCCTAAAATTGCCCACACCTGTTACTGCCCCAGGTGAGTTTAAGGAGCATCACATGCTTGTAACATTCTTATTTATCCGCAGGATTTACCCCCTTCTTGACCCGGGGACCATTTTGAAAGGGTGCCAAAATACTTTTGTCCAGCCCATCTTTTCGGTGGAGGTTTATGTGTGACATTATGTCGAATTTGCTTTTTTCCTCCCTTATTTTTGACTTTTGTCCCATATACACACAAAAAAAATAAAACATGTGTATAGCAAAACCATGTGTAAATGCAATACGTTTTTGTGAAAAAAACAAAAATTCCTGACCTGGAGTAATATCAAGGGTGCCATTTACAATTTCGGCCATGACTGTATATATATATATATATATATATATATATACCCGTATTTTCCGCTCCATAAGACGCACCTGACCATAAGACACGCCCTAGGTTTTAGAGGAGAAAAACAAGAAAAAAAATATTCTGAACCAATGGACTGCAGACACAGTACAGGGTATGACCAGAGACTGCGGACACCGTACAGGGGATGTCAAGAGACTGCGGACACAGTACGGGAGATGACCAGAGACTGCGGACACAGTACGGGAGATGACCAGAGACTGCGGACACAGTACGGGAGATGACCAGAGACTGCGGACACAGTACGGGAGATGACCAGAGACTGCGGACACAGTACGGGAGATGACCAGAGACTGCGGACACAGTACGGGAGATGACCAGAGACTGCGGACACAGTACAGGAGATGACCAGAGACTGCGGACACAGTACAGGAGATGACCAGAGACTGCGGACACAGTACAGGAGATGACCAGAGACTGCGGACACAGTACAGGAGATGACCAGAGACTGCGGACACAGTACAGGAGATGACCAGAGACTGCGGACACAGTACAGGAGATGACCAGAGACTGCGGACACAGTACAGGAGATGACCAGAGACTGCGGACACAGTACAGGGATGACCAGAGACTGCGGACACAGTACAGGGGATGACCAGAGACTGCGGACACAGTACAGGGATGACCAGAGACTGCGGACACAGTACAGGGGATGACCAGAGACTGCGGACACAGTACAGGGGATGACCAGAGACTGCGGACACAGTACAGGAGATGACCAGAGACTGCGGACACAGTACAGGAGATGACCAGAGACTGCGGACACAGTACAGGGGATGACCAGAGACTGCGGACACAGTACAGGAGATGACCAGAGACTGCGGACACAGTACAGGGGATGACCAGAGACTGCGGACACAGTACAGGAGGATGACCAGAGACTGCGGACACAGTACAGGAGATGACCAGAGACTGCGGACACAGTACAGGAGATGACCAGAGACTGCGGACACAGTACAGGAGATGACCAGAGACTGCGGACACAGTACAGGAGATGACCAGAGACTGCGGACACAGTACAGGAGATGACCAGAGACTGCGGACACAGTACAGGGAATGACCAGAGACTGCGGACACAGTACAGGGAATGACCAGAGACTGCAGACACAGTACAGGAGATGACCAGAGACTGCGGACATAGTACAGGAGATGACCAGAGACTGTGGACATAGTACAGGGAATGACCAGAGACTGTGGACATAGTACAGATGACCAGAGACTGCAGACAGTGCAGGGGATGACCAGAAACTGCAGACAGTAAAGGAGATGACCAGAGACTGCGGACTTTTGGGGAGGGAGGGGGAGCGGGTACCTGAATTTGACAGGTACCCGCTCTCACTTCCGCGGAGTTGTCCTTCCTTCTTCTTCCTGTGGCGGCTTCTGTGACAGCCGGGTGCCCACTGCGCATGCGCGAGAAGCGCTGCACTTTGTGAATGGCCCGGAGCCTTCTGGGACCTGTCATGTGTCCCAGAAGACACCGGACCATTCACAAAGCGCAGCGCTTCTTGCGCATGCGCAGTTGGCACCCGGCTGTCACAGAAGCCGCCGGGGGAAGACTGCAGCACTGGAGCGAGGAACAGGTAAGGTCCTGCAGGAGAGAAGAGCTGAAAGGCTGGCCCGATATTCTGACATGGTGGCGGCAGAAACACCAGACCGGCCGCTTTACATTCGCTCCATAAGACGCACTGACATTTTCCCCCCTTTTTTGGGGGGAAAAAAGTGCGTCTTATGGAGCAAAAAATACGGGATATACTGGGATTTTTATTTTTACTAGTAATGGCGGCAATCAGCGACTTATAGCGGGACTGCAGTGGACATTCTGATACTGGGGGGAACTGACTTGGTGTCACGTGCACCCCCTACCCAGAAAAGCAAAATCACGTATATATACGTGATTTTGCGCACCCGTGCCACCCTGTAGCACTATTTCTGCTATAGGGCGGTCGAGAAGCGGTTAAAGACAATGTAAACAAAGACACTATGCATTCCTGGAGATCCTTGGAAAACTTAACCCCACAGCTGACAACTATGACCCCCCAACTGATTGCTCATAGGGAAATGATTAATTGAACAGGTTAGAAAATCCGTTCTGATCTCCAGTGGTGCTGAGTGACTTATTTGTCTAGCAGTAGGGTCGCTGGTTGAACCCAGGGGTGGACTGATAACTCATGGGGCCCCTGGGCAATAGGGGATCATGGGGCCTCTGTGTCCTTGGCCAAACTCAAAAAAGCCTATGAAAAAGGTACCAGGGGCATCTCATGGGGCCCCCTACTGTCCCTGGGCCCTTGGACAGTGCCCGAGTTTCCAAATGGTCAGTCTGCCCCTGTTTGAACCCCAACCAGGACACTACCTGCATGGAGTTTACATGTTCTCCCTGTGCTACATACGTTTTCTCTGGTTTTCTCCCAGATGTCAAAGACACGTTGGTAGGTTAAATGACTCCTGCTTAGATTGGCCCTAGTGTGTGTATGTATGCATGTGAAGACTGATGTGAATGCACAATATTTAAAGCATTGTGTAATTTTAGTTGCTAAATAATAACCTATAATATTAATATGGTATGTGTTAGTTATTAAAACTAGCCAAATAATTTCAGGCATTATAAGTAACCACAACAGCAACTGAACATCTCTTGGGAGCATTTTATGAAGAATTACACAAAGTATCCATACACAAGGATCCAAAGAACTGTACAGAGCAGAGGCAGACTGACAACTCATGGGGCCCCCGGGCAATAGGGGATCATGGGGCCCCTGTGTCCTTGCCCAAACTCAAAAAAGCCTATGAAAAAAGGTACCAGGGGCATCTCATGGGGCCCCCTACTGACCCCGGGCCCTCGGGCAGTGCCCCTGGTACAGAGCACGCCTGACAAGCATCCCTTAGAAGGCTAAAGTGTATCTAAACACAAAAACTTAAAAGTATCACTAAAGGCAAAACTGTTTTGTTTTTTTTTTGCTGTCTGTGTCCCCATTAAGGAGACTCACTCTCTCTATTAGTCCTGATTACCGTTATCACTAAAAGTGAAAGGAAAAGGAAAACCTGAATTTTGGCTTGAGCCCTGGACAGTAATAAAGGAGGAATCTTCAAATGGTGATACTAGTTCTGGTGACAACCAGGAATTCCCTCACTTTGGAGGGATTTCCTCTCACTTCCAATTCTGACTATGGGAAGGACAGGAAGTGACGGGAAATCTCCCCAATGAGACAAAATTGCAAAAATAAAACTCACTGGGGTTACATCTTTCCCTTCCTCTATCCAAAAAAAAGTTTTGCCTTTAGGGCCAATTCACACTATATGCCGTGACAGCATTGTAAAACATCCGTCACCGCAGGGACACAGAGGAAACAGTTGTTTCTTATGCATCCCATTCACACTGCAACTCAGTCTAGCGCAGCGCTGCAGTGTCCTGTGGTAAAATGCGGACATGCTGCATTTTATCACGGCGCACCAGGCCAAATCACACGGCAATGTCTGGCAATGCAGTGCAATCGACATTGCAGTGAAGGGAGGGTATGTTTTGTATACTTCACATAAAGTTTGTTCAAAAAAAAAAAAAAAGGGAACCATGTGATGCAGTGAATCGTACATCTCGCTGCCCCCTAGTGTGGCTGGCAACGCAGAGCAGCCGGAGCAGTGAATCGCTCTAGCTGCTCGGCATTGTAGTGTGATTTCACCCTTAGCTCTACTTTACTATACAGTATTACAGCCTAAAAGTCCTTAGATGAGGTGGCTGTATTTGGTTTTCTTTTTGCAATCTTTTTGTTTATATTCACCTCACAATTCCTGACTTTTACACTCACTGTATCTATGGCAGAAGCCATGTTTGCCACCCAGACTGTACTTCAAACATGTCTGCCTTCCTCCATTGTTAATGCAGTGTGAGATGTGTTTCCCAGCATGCATACATGTTAACAGCACTTTTTCAGCTCTACCCTAACTGTATCAAATTCACACATAAAAGTAGCTCAGGAGCACAACGTCCATCATAACTTGATGATAGAGCCCTTTAATGCAGATGTATAGCCTGAAAATAAACATTTGCCAGTGGGCAGGGTATTTCAATAGAAGAAACTTTATAAATTCCTTCTGCCAAACAAACTATTTTACATACCTGCTAGGAGTTTTTTTGGTAACATCTGTACAATGACTGTAGCGCAGTACAGTGTACAGTCCTCAGACTGTCTGTGCTCAGGGGGAGGCGCCTACACCCACACGGATGTCATATTGGAACCAGCGGCTGTGTCTGTGCAGCTGCTGCATCCCAATAGACAGGAATGGGCCTACCTGCATGTAGATGTACACCAGTGTATCCTGTGCAGGCAAAGAACACAATTAACCACTTACCCTCCTGAGGATTTACCCCCCCCCCTTTCCTGACCAGGCCATTATTTGCATTACAGCGCTGTGTTACCTTAATTGACAATTGCGCGGTCATGCAACGCTGCACCCAAATGAAATCTACGGCCTTTTTTCCCACAAATTGAGCTTTTTGGTTGGTATTTGATCGTCTGTGCATTTTTTATTTTTTGCACTACAAGAAAAAGCCTGACAATTCTGAGAAAAAAAAACTATATATTTTTTTTGCTATTAAACATGTCCAGTAAACAAATTTAAAAAAATCTAATTTCATCATAAATTTAGGCCAAAATGTATTCTGCCACGTCTTTGCTAAAAAAAATCCCAATATGTGTAAATTAATTGGTTTACGTGAAAGTTCTAGCGTTTACAAATGGCGGTATCGATACTGGGATTTTTTTTATTTTTACTAGTAATGGCGACGATCAGTGAATTATAGCAGGACTGCAGGATTGCGGCGGGCATTCTGACACTGGGGGAAACGGACTTGGTGTCACTGAAATCCCCAGTGACACCAATACAGTGATCAGTGCTAAAAAAAAAAAAAAAAAAAAAAAAAACACACACTGACACTGTATTAATGGCACTGGGCAGGAAGGGGTTAACATGAGGGGCGATCAAAAGGTTAACGGTGTGCTGGGTGTGTTTTATTATGGGGGCCGTGTGTTAGTGCTTCACTGTAAGCTATGCACAGCCATCCAAAGCAGTGTGCACGAGCTGACAGGGAGGACAACTATTTTTTTTACAAACAGTTCTCCTCCCCATCGGGAATCCTCGGCAATCACCGGGCGCCAGCGAGTAATCACCGGTCAGGACCCGGTGATTGATAGCTGTGGCTGAGAAGGGCGGCGCTGGTAGGGCACGCGCACCCCCTACCCAGGTGTGCAAAATCACGTGTGTGTATATATATATATATATATATATATATATATATATATATATATATGTGTGATTTTGCACATCCGTGCCGGCCTATAAAAGTATTTCTGCTATTGGGTGGACGGGAAGTGGTTAACAAGGTTGAACTTGTTTTTACACAGTGCGGAGGATTAACCCCTTAGGTTCCACAATGAGTATAACAAGCATGCTTTCTGCATATACAGACTGATTTTGCAGTTGTGGGTTTAGTAACACTTTAATTTTTTAGGTAAAATAACTAGTGCATTATTTAGCTCAAAAGTAGTCAATTCACTAAAAACATGCGTTATTTACCCAAAGTGTAAAATATTTATGTTTTGGAGATATTTAGAGCCTAAATTTTGTGTTATTTTTGGAGCTCTTTCGAAATTTTTTTTTGTAGGCTAATGCAGGCCATAGACGGTTCGTTTATCAGCCGATTTTTCGGCCGAAAAACGAAACATCGGTCGTTCTGTTGGCACCAATGATTGCGAAAATTGGCAGTTTTTCACAAATTTTCCAGCATGACCGATAAAAGAAATGAGGAGGAACCG